ACGACATGGTCAAAAAGAGTTTCTGTGTGTTTACTTCGCTGCTCTATAAATCAAGTTATACTAATCTAATCTAACCTAACTTTAACTAATCTGTTCTAACTTAACCTAATCTCACCTGATTTAACCTAATGAAAAAAACGTATAATATTTTGTGTTTCAGATATTATAAGGACGTCAAGAACCATATATCATAAATGCTCATCCTGGGAAGGGGAATCAAATCGTCGTACTAGAAAATGGAAGCGTCTCACGAAATTGACATACTGTCCCCGTTTTCTGTTTTGGGTCCTCTGGTTAGGTGAGGATAAGCGACACTTTAGTACGTCGGAATCTTGACGTTGGGAGACCTTAGGAGGACGGCAGCTGAGGAAACACAACGAATAAGACGTCCTAGAAGTCGCCTCCAGTGACGTCTAAGAATTTGGCTTCCCGTAACACTTGATTGGCTGATTGACACCAGCGGTTATCTTGAGGTTATCTTGAGATGATTTCGGGGCTTTTAGTGTCCCCGCGGCCCGGTCCTCGACCAGGCCTCCACCCCCAGGAAACAGCCCGTGACAGCTGACTAACACCCAGGTACCTATTTTACTGCTAGGTAACAGGGGCATAGGGTGCAAGAAACTCTGTCCATTGTTTCTCGCCGGCGCCCGGGATCGAACCCGGAACCACAGGATCACAAGTCCAGCGTGCTGTCCGCTCGGAAGACCGGCGGTGGGAAAAGGTGTGGCAGAGTGCCACACCTTCTTGGTGAGGCACTCTGCCAGGTGCCACACAAGGTGAGGCAGTGAGGTAAACTCGTGACCGGGGTTCGAGACTGTCGCTCGGCTAAAGTGAAGAAAGGCCTTTTAGATTATTTACATAATAATTTAATAGACATAATTCGTTTCGTTGGGGACAGGCAGCCTGGGTTTTTATATACGTAAGGCTTAAATCGAGGTTCATCCGAGGTGGAACTACAAGGCCTCCTCCTTCCCCCCCCCTAGAATGCAGCCCCCACAACAGTTGCCTAACTCCTGGGGGTACCTAGTTACTGCTAGGTGAACAGATGCATTACATGAAAGCAAACGTGGCCCCTTCAACCATTTCTCTCCCACCCGGGAATCGAACCCCGGATCCTCGATTGTGAGCCGAGAAGAAAACCCACACAAAATACAACCTGTCCTCTCATCCAATTGGTCAAAAAAAAAAAAATACTGCCTCGACCAGTTAAAAACACGATTTATACACAAATTTCTGTATTGTATACACAATACACAAATTAAAACACCGTAATTACCCACCTATTACCGGCAACCAGGAGGCCTGGTCGACGACCGGGCCGCGGGGACGCTAAGCCCCGGAAGCACCTCAAGGTAACCTCAAGGTAACCTTTTCCTATGCCTCGACGACGGTAGTTCAGGTAGGTTGTTTGGGTCCGTAGGCCTGTAGTTAGGCCTAGGATACATGATACAGCCTCCCAATACAACATAACCTCGCTTTTTATACAACAGTTCAAACCAACAAACAACTTGGGATACTGACGGGACAAAAGATAATTGGTTGTGACAGGTGACAGACAGGTGACAGACAGGTCCAGGCTAATTAATTACAAATGTTCTGTCCTAATTGACAAAGTGTACATATTTGTTCCTGATTTTCGCAACGAAATTTTATCAATATATATATATATATATATATATATATATATATATATATATATATATATATATATATATATATATATATATATATATATATATATATATACCAAATACGTAAGGCCAAAAGTTTTAGTTGGTAATTAGTTCTTTAACTAAGACATCCATTTACCTGAATTTACCAGAGGAGGCTACTATATATCTAGTGGCTTCGACGCGGTGACAGGAAGCCAGCGGCTTCCCTTCCCAATTGTTCCTGAGGATAAGAAGATATTATCCAATACATAAACGCCAAATATCCCTGAAGGAATGCGAATATTTCTGACCCAATCATTGAGGAGAGGCCCGGCGAAGCTGCCATTGTGAACATGGCTCCAGGGTATCGAACGCGGGCTTGTATATTCTGCCCCTCCCGCTTCCTGGCTCACGTTGTGTACCTGTGTATCACTCTGTTTACGCTCTAGCCGGATGCTCGGGGCTGCGAGGTACTCGGTTACTCGAGTGATGCCACTCTGGGTCCTCCATGTTTACGTCTGTTTGTTTGGAGGTTAAACCAGCAAGTAGAGGAGGATTGGGCGGGGGGGGGGGAGCATGGGGTGTGGGACCCCCTTGTGTGTGTGGGGGGGGGGGGGTGGGGAGCATGGGGTGTGGGACCCCCTTGTGTGTGTGGGGGGGGGCATGGGGTGTGGGACCCCCTTGTGTGTGTGGGGGGGGGGGAGCATGGGGTGTGGGACCCCCTTTGTGTGTGTGGGGGGGAGCATGGGGTGTGGGACCCCCTTGTGTGTGTGGGGGGGAGCATGGGGTGTGGGACCCCCTTGTGTGTGTGGGGGGGGGGAGCATGGGGTGTGGGACCCCCTTGTGTGTGTGTGGGGGGGGGGAGCATGGGGTGTGGGACCCCCTTGTGTGTGTGTGTGGGGGGGGGGGGGGAGGTTGATTATGGGCTATATTCACCTAGTTGTATTTGCCTACTTGAGTTTGCGGGGGTTGAGCTCTGCTCTTTCGGCCCGCCTCTCAACTGTCAATCAACTGTTTACTAACTACTTTTTTTTTGCCATACCACACACACACACACCCCAGGAAGCAACCCGTGACAGCTGACTAACTCCCAGGTACCTATTTACGGCTAGGTAACAGGAGCATCAGGGTGAAATAAACTCTCACCCTGATGCTCCTGTTACCTAGCAGTAAATAGGTACCTGGGAGTTAGTCAGCTGTCACGGGCTATATATAATAATATAATATTATAATGGAAATCTTATATTATAATATTCTACAAGAACATCTTGACGGCCCACTAGGGGGGGTAGAGGGGGTCCTGAGACCCACGGCCCACTAGGGGGGTAGAGGGGGTCCTGAGACCCACGGCCCACTAGGGGGGTAGAGGGGGTCCTGAGACCCACGGCCCACTAGGGGGGTAGAGGGGGTCCTGAGACCCACGGCCCACTAGGGGGGGTAGAGGGGGTCCTGAGACCCACGGCCCACTAGGGGGGTAGAGGGGGTCCTGAGACCCACGGCCCACTAGGGGGGTAGAGGGGGGTCCTGAGACCCACGGCCCACTAGGGGGGTAGAGAGGGTCCTGAGACCCACGGCCCACTAGGGGGGTAGAGGGGGTCCTGAGACCCACGGCCCACTAGGGGGGTAGAGGGGGTTCTGAGACCCACGGCCCACTAGGGGGTAGAGAGGGTCCTGAGACCCACGGCCCACTAGGGGGGTAGAGGGGGTCCTGAGACCCACGGCCCACTAGGGGGGTAGAGGGGGTCCTGAGACCCACGGCCCACTAGGGGGTAGAGAGGGTCCTGAGACCCACGGCCCACTAGGGGGTAGAGGGGGTCCTGAGACCCACGGCCCACTAGGGGGGTAGAGAGGGTTCTGAGACCCACGGCCCACTAGGGGGTAGAGGGGGTCCTGAGACCCACGGCCCACTAGGGGGGGTAGAGAGGGTTCTGAGACCCACGGCCCACTAGGGGGTAGAGGGGGTCCTGAGACCCACGGCCCACTAGGGGGGG